GATTGTTTTAAGTGAAATGTTTTGTATGTTTGTTACAAATAATATAATATTAAAAGTGCTCTGCAGTCATATTTAGTATCCTTTTCTCTAATTAAATATTGGAATGGTTATGGTTTTAGCTCTTGCAAATATATATTCAGTCTGTAAATTATTTTTCTTTAGTATTTCATTTTCTTTCTTTATTCTGAAATGTCTGTAGCTTGACCTTAAAAAGCATGTTTTTTAATTGATACTGTATGCGTATTTCTTCAAGATAAAATAGGCTGGTGAAATCTAGAATTAAACACATTTGAAAAAAACAAAAGTGGATTTAGTTGTTCATTTTTAATTTGTCTAAAGGCTTATTTTTTTCGGAACATAAAATAAAAGCCTGTGTTTCACTAATAATCAACTGCTTTTACAAATAGCCACATATGGTTAATTGAAGATATCTAATCTGTCATAAAAGTTAAAATAATGTTTGTGACGGTGTTTCATCCACTTTCAATTATTTTAAGTAAACAAAAAAGGTTATTGAACTAATATGGATACATGTTTAATGTCTTGTTATATTACATTTATACTCAAGATGTCAGTATAGACCAGCTGTACAATAACTTCTAACTGGTTTGCAATTCCTCCATTATTGGGATCGGTCAGTGTGTGTTCTGTGCCGTAAGAGGTTGAAGCCAAATGCTTGAAAACATTTTTATTGAGATATTTGCTTCATTGCTGTAATCACGTCGTGTGATCGCATGTAGGACAGCCTGATGATGGAGTACAGACGGTGTTCTCGTGAATTCTGCGGCCTGCTCTTTGTCTTCTTTGTGCTGCACTGCGCACACGGAGACCTGACATATTCCGTCCAGGAGGAGCTGAAACACGGATCTGTTATCGGAAATATCGCRAAGGATSTGGGACTGGATTCAGGGAGGCTGTCTGCTCGGAAAGCTCGTGTTGAAATGGAAGGAAGTGACAAACAGTATGTCGGAATCAACCTGAGAAACGGAGATTTGTTCGTTGCGGGAAGAATAGACAGAGAGGAGCATTGTGGAGAAAAACCAACATGTATTCTCAGATTCGACCTGCTTCTAGAAAATCCTCTGGAGTTACACCGATTGTCTCTACAGGTACAGGATGTAAATGATAATGCGCCAGATTTTGAAAAGGATGTTATAAAACTGGAAATCAGAGAATCAGCTGTAAAAGGTGCAAGGTATCGGATTATGGGAGCAGAAGATGCAGATATAGGCCAGAACTCTGTTCAAAGCTACGTTTTAGAAAAAAACCCACATTTTGTGTTTAATACTCAGACATCAGGTGCTGGTAGTAAATATGGAGAGCTGGTTTTGGATAAAGAGTTAGACCGAGAGGAGCAGCAGGAGCTGAAATTATTGCTCACGGCTGTTGATGGTGGATCTCCTCAGAGGTCCGGGACTGTAGTCYTACACGTCACAGTGCTGGATGCTAATGATAARGCCCCTGTGTTTACTGAGGCTGTGTATWCAGCCAGGCTYGCYGAAAACTCTCCACTAAAAACTCCAGTTATRACAGTCAAAGCTASYGATGCAGATGAAGGTGTTAATGGAGAGGTGARYTARGAYRTTAGCKYASTKTCTGATAAATCAYMAAAARTGTTTTCAKTTGATCAYAAAAMTGGYGAAATATTTGTRARWGGTGAYATTGATTATGAAGASGGYTCWAAATATGAAYTGATGATTGAAGCTAAAGATGGATATGGTCTCTCCTCTGAAGCAAAACTGATTATTGAAATCACTGACGTAAATGACAACGCCCCTACAATTAGTCTAAAATCACTGACCAATCCTGTTCCTGAGGACATCACACCTGGTACAGAGGTGGGCATCATTAACGTGCAGGACAGAGACTCTGAGCAGAACCGACAGGTGCGCTGCTCCATCCAGCAGAACGTTCCTTTTAAGTTGGTTCCTTCTATTAAAAACTATTATTCTGTGGTGAGCACAGGACAGCTGGACCGTGAACTAGTGTCTGATTACAACATTACAATCAG